TTTTATTTTTGTATATACCGTTCTATAGACTAAAACTTCAGTAAAATGGTTATAACTCTGGCAGGAAGACCTAATAGCACTTGTTCTTGTGGGATTGTTTGTATCTCACTGAGATCTACCGTACGCATGAAGTCCGAACTTAGGAGCGATTCACAACGAGCAATGGTTCTCTCATTAGCGACGTCGAAAGCTGGTCAAAATGGTCATTCACTAAACATTTCCCAGTCATCATATTACGACACTAGTCGTGTACGACAACTTTCTACAGTCATTGTTTACGATGATCGTATGCAACCGAGCATGATTGATCTAGGTAATACTTTTGATTTATTTCTTCGTTCTCCTGCGTTTTCTTGTAGATGAAAAAAATTAACATGAAATAATAATTATAGCATTGTTCTTTTATTGAACAGAGAAATGAAAAACCTTACAAGGAAATAAACTAAAATTAAATGAATATTTGAAGAAAGATACTGATCAAAGTCTAATGATAATAAGAATTTTAATAAAACGAGCAAATCAAAGCTCCCACATCCATGAAACAAAATTCAAAAATTGAATTTGATACAACAAAAGGATTCTGTTTTGTAGAGCGTAAAGTCAACTGAGAATTTTAATGTCAATAGTCTTAAATGAGATAAGCTGGTAATAAAATGTTCAAATAAAAAAGATATGTCATAGTCAAGATATGAAAAGAACAAGAAAAGCTAATGCAGAGATGGTGACGCCATCTCCCGTGACCTTTGTTTTCCTCTTAAGTCTGAAATCCAGCAGCAATGGCAAAGATCTTCTTAGCTACTTTATATACATTATCAACCCTAACTATAAACAAAATATGAGCTCGAACGGCCCGTAACAGTTGGAAATGTTTCCTCGTTAGTATTTTGACGAATTCATCGTTGACGAAAAACAGACAATGTTCAATGTCACATAACTGTACATATGTTATACCCTAATGAAAAGTTTTTATGAAAAAAATGGAAGTGAACTCATTCATTAAAACAGTGGCAAGCTATCTGGTCTACGATTATCGCGCTATATAGTTTGGCGAATGTATTTGAAGTCGATAAGAATACATTCTGCCTCTGCAGCAAAGCAGTATTTGCCATTTCGCACTATCATAGAACACTTTCTGTGTCATTCCAAAATTTATTGAAATGGTCAGGATGGAATTCTATCCAAACAAAATTGATTTCTTTGATGTTTTCTAGAGAAATACCTAAGAATGGATTGTTTGAAGCTGTAAATCTATTCTAGAGAATTCAACATCATTCTTACAAAGAAAAGAATATGTTCTTTATCATTCTTCGAATTATCTAATAATTTCTTGTGAATTAAAAAATGATTTTCTAAAACTATAATTCGACCATTCTAGGGACGGACTGGATGAGCAACTTACCAGGGCCATCGATAATGATGTTTATTGAAGAAATTCACAATTCTAGAATGTAATTACTTCATATTCAACACATAGTTATATAGGAGAAAGCAAAAAATTAGATGAACATAAGGAAGAACCATAGAAAGATAAGATGATGAGGAAAGAGGAAATCCGGATCGGCATGAGGTGATAACAATATCATCGCAATCATGATTATTGGTCTTCTTGCAAAATTAAGAAAAAGAGGAAGTGAGCTGAAGAAAAATGAAAATATTTTAATAATGAGGTAATTCGTAGAAAGTCAAGAAGTAAAATATAATATGTTTATGCACTAAGTTGAAGCAATACCTAGACGATTGCAAAAGTTCTGTTTTATGAAGTATTCTGTAAAGTAAATTTTCCTTTTGTTTTATTTGTAATCTTATTTTTTTGTTTTTACTCTGTGAAAAATTAATGATTTATTTGTCTTTACTTTTTTTACCTTGATATTTTAAAAATAAAAAGTTTAATTTCTTTTGCATTTTAAACATATATATATATACTTAGGGTAATCCAAAAGTAGCAGCGCCATTATTTTATTTCCGTATGGAACGCTTGAAGAGTTTTTCTTTCTTACGTAGTGAGAAAGAAAACGATGCTCTATTTTTCTATGCTATTTGATCATTCTTCAACTAAACATCATAATAATAAAATGTCGATAAATTTTGAAGATGACAATAAATAAATTAGGATATTAACCAAGTTATAGATCGTTAAATGTTTGATCAATAGATTTTATTATGAAACTTCAAGGATATTTTCAGTTCTTACACTTTAGCTGTTATCATCGATCTTGTATTGATTGATTTTATTTTGAAAAAGAAACAAATTTAATATTATGCTAATTATTTCTCTTTATTCAACATAATGAATATCTACTTAAGATAAATCTGCATTAAATCATTTACATATCGATCTTTATATTTGAAACAAAAAAAAAGATTTAAAATAATGAAAACTATCGGAACTTAAATTTCATAACGTTAACAAAAAAAAAACAAAATAGTCGTTGATTGAAGAAACAATGAACATTAGATTTGTTTTTTATTTTAATTTAAGTGAAAAGAGATAGTTGATATTGTTATTGATCGATATTCAATAGGGAAATGACAGGGTGTGGGTGTGCATCTTCGCTTTATCTACATCCACACCCAACTTTTGTTGAACTTCATAATTTTATATATATAAACAAAGGGGAATTTAGTTTTTGTTCAAATGAATGTAGATTTAATGATGATACTTAATATTCATGAATAAATGCATCTGATAATCAATTTAATTCAATTTCTTCATAAGAATGCAACATCATCAATATATTCTTCGCCACCCAGTGAAAAATATTTCAAAAAAAGTCGAAAAAAAACGCGTTCATCAAAAACTGGAACGCGATCTTGTAAGTGAAGAATGGATTCTTTACTTCGTGGAACGCGTTCATCAGCAATAAAAGTACGTTCTGCATCTAACGGAACGCATTCTTTGCCGTTCCATGTAATTTTGGAATGCTTTCTTCTCAGTTCCAAATCGTTCCTACTCTCGATGGAAAGCGTTCTAAACCGTTCCAATCGCTATTAGAATAGTTTCTTTTCCGTTCTATTTTGGAACGGTCAAAATAAAATTCCATTAAAATGAGAACACTTTCGTTAGCGTTTGCTAGAGGAATATGTAAGATTGGGTTCTTCGAACGGATGAATGCGTTCCAGGCAATTTAACATCGTTCTTGAAAAGAAAAGAACGTGCTCTTTGTCATTCTACAAACTTCCGAATACTTCTCGTGGGGTCAAGAACGAATTTTGAAAAAATAGAATGTTTTCTCGGCATTTCATGACTTCAATAAAATTATTCGCCACATTGAGAACAAATATTGATCAGTTCAGACTTCACTCTTCAGAGTCCTCAAATGTATTAAATTTTTTTCTGATTCTCTCTTATCTGAAAATGACTATCATAATTTCTGATCTTCTTTTATGATTATTTATTTTAAAAGAGAATTTTTATTTGTTGATGCCGAGATGTTTATTTATAAATAGCGCACTGACAAAAAAAACAATAGTACTATACACAAAAAAATGAGAAAAACAATAAGAAGATCACGAAGATTCAGTTACATTCGGTAAACGAATAAACAAAAACTTTTCTTTTCGACGAAGACAAAAACCTTTTTCAACCATTCGTGTTGATAATATTTGTGTTTTTGATGTACAATTTATTTGTCCAATAGCTGTATTTGAATTTTTAACAAACGGAAGAACCCAAGAGTATTGCTGATAAAGCTAAAAAACGATGAAAAATTTATTCTAATACTAATGCATAAGCGACGTTCCCATATTCATATCAACAAGAGGGTGTGGGTGTGGGTGTGGGTGTGGGTGTGGGTGTGGGTGTGGCTGAGGGTGGCTGTGGGTGTGGGTGTGGGTGTGGGTGTGGCTGAGGGTGGCTGTGGGTGTGGGTGTGGGTGGGGTGTAGGTGGGGTGTGGGTGGGTGTAGAGTGTGGGTGTGGATGTGAATGTGGGTGTGGGTGTGGGTGTAGGTGTGGATGTGGGTGGGGTGTGGGTGGGTGTAGAGTGTGGGTGTGGATGTGGGTGTGGGTGTCGATAATCTCTTCAAACACCCACACCCACACCTACACGAACACCCACACCCACACCCACACACCCACACCAACACCCACACCCACACCCAATATAACTCAGAATAATCACAATAATTTGTTTTAGCACACAGAGAACCTTTATTGAATGAAGTTATCGATCATACGAATCGACAACTTGTACCATTCGTTTCTGCAACATCAAATCTTATTCGACTCAATACAAAATGGCAAGAACAACTAAAGGCCGAGAAAGAACGAATAAGACGAAGTCTGATCACAGGCAACTATGATAATTCTGATGATACGTTAGAATATGATTCTGTAAACGATGCACTTGTAACTTTAATAAATCCAAACAATTATAATTCAAACACGTTTGAGAACTACAGTTCTATTCCTCCAGTCATTTCACTCACCACAAGTTATTCTACTCAAAAAAGCATTGTTGATGAATACACATTAAATAGAGAACAAAGAGCTGCATTCATGATAATAACAAGTCATCTTGATGGTGATAAACGATGTCATACAGGTATGTTTACATTACAAGTAGTCATAATCCGAAATATTATGTTCATAGGTGACAATGATGGTCAACTGATAATGTGTATACCTGGATGTGGAGGCACAGGCAAATCGCAACTAATTCGTGCTATCACGAAATACTTTTTTGTTACAAAAAGAATGTACATGATGCGAAAGCTCGCACCTACTGGAATTGCTGCTGCTGAAATTGATGGTATGACAATTCACTCATTTCTTGGTGAACAACGTAATTCACGAAAACCACGCACCATCAAACCAGGTGATTCAAAACTTGAGAAAGAATGGAGACTTGTTGAATATCTCATAATAGATGAGATGAGTATGGTTGGTTTAACTTTACTTGCAAAACTCAACCGGATTATTTCTGCTGGCAAACATGTCGATCCTCAAATTCCATTTGGTGGTGTGAATGTTATCATTTTCGGTGACTATTTACAATATCGGCCTGTATATGATGTACCATTACACACCGATTTTTCATTGTCTTCGAGAAAAAAGTCAAGTAAATTACTTACTGAAAAAGAAATCCAACAACGTGTTGCACGTTCTTTAATTCTTCAAATTAATTATGTGGTGAAACTTACTCAACAGATGCGAACAGAAGATTTGCAATACCTTCAGCTGCTCGAGCGACTTCGTCAAGGACAATGCACTTACGATGATTACGAATTATTACTGACACGTGTCGCTGGACAACCATCGGTCGGATCTCTAAAAGAACATCCGTGGAATAAAGTATACTTTTTTTTCGTTTCAAAATAATATACTTTTTTTTTCGTTTAAAAATAATTCTTCATCTCTCTCATATTTAGGCTCCTATTCTTGTATTTCGAAATGAAGTACGAACACAACTGAACTATAAAGCAGCGGTTCATAATGCAAAACAACTGAATCATTCACTAATGGTATGTGTTGCTCAAGATACTTGCAAAGGAAGAACAATTGAAGATCAAATACTCATTAAAAAATTATTGGAATTACCTGATAGCAAGACAGAGCATCTACCAGGTTTATTACCATTTGTTCCTGGAATGCCTGTTATTTTAACACAAAACATTGCTACTGAACTGGGTCTTATCAACGGCACGAGTGGAATCTTTCGACAATTAGTCTATGACACTGATTCTGTCTCAACAGATATGTTGTCAGAAGCATTTCCGAACAATACGCAATACGTACATCGACCTTTATATGCGCTAATAGAACTTACTAGATCATCAAAAATTGAATGCAATCTGGAACAACTCGAACCAAATCTCGTCCCAATACCGTTAATGGAGCAAACTTTTCGCGTTGACATTACTGACATTCTTCCAAAAGATAAGCGGAAATCCAAGCATAAAGCAATTTTGTCAATTAAACGACGTGCAATGACACTTGTTCCTGCGTATTGTATCACGACACATAAAAGTCAAGGTCAAACTTTAAATAAAGTCGTGATTGATTTGAAACTACCAAATGATACCGATGATATTGCTGCAGTGTATGTACCTTTATCACGTGTAAAACGTTTGGTAGATTTAATTATCTTACGACATTTCGATTACAAAGTGCTTACGATAAAACCAAGCAAATCTCAACTTGCTGAAATGGAGAGGCTTGATAAACTTTATTTAGATACGCAAACGCGATTTTCTCAATGGTTTCAATAATTAATGTGTATTGGGTAAAAACTCATGTGAATGTCTTCCGTTTTTTTTGCACATTATTTTGTCTTTCTAAGTCTTCGTTCCATGTTCTTTACATTTAATCATTGCTTTTTCTATAGTAGTTTTTTCGTGTACATAATAGTGTTGTAGTTTTCTTATGCTTTATGCTGTAGAGTAGTATTCGTTAGATATAGATTTCTCTTTGTTTTGATTTCCATTTTTTCGTTTCTGTTGATAGAAATTTAAATGTGCTTGTGTCATGTTATAACTGCAAAATCATCAATAAAAACATTATCCGATGTGTTGCTTAACCTTCCAGTATTCATCAAATAATTCTATGACACAATAGTGGTAGAATGATATCGCGCTCTGCCAATAGAGTTTTTATTAAAAGCTGTGGTTGAGGTAGATTTCAATCAAAATTTTTTAAATATCAAATCATGATTTAGATTTATTCTAATCTTTCACCCATACGAACGCAGATCCACAATCGGCAGCAATATTATTCACATGTCTATGTCAGTATACTAACCAAAGTTATGTTACTAAAGGACTTTACAAGTTAGTCCACGTTTGAATTACATCACTTAAATTTTTCTATCATATTGTGTCGAAAGATTAATGATTCTAAATCATATTAATCAGAAAGCAGTCAAATCTGATTTTTATTACAACCATATATAAACCAAAAATACACATTATCAATCATCGAAATATTTTGTTTTATGGATTCATAGTAACAATCGCATTTTTCTTTATCAAACTCGACAAAGCTCTAAGATAAATTACACGATTATAGATCATTATAAAAGTATGGAAACCGATATATGTGGTTACATGTGATACTACTAGCAACTGTCCCGATAAGGTCGACTAGCGTATAAATACTTCTAATCCTTCAGTCGAGGGTTGAGCGAGTCGTAGCGACGAGCGTTACTTGTTTTTTTATGAATCATTTTTGTTTTATTATAACATTCTTAATCATGCAAACGAGGACATGATATTTGATTGACAAATGTTATGTCAATGTTTTGTATTTATCACAACTAGGCGTTTATTATTATTGTCGATAAGAGTACGTTTATGCATTGTCATAAAAATCTTTTTGTTTTAGAAATGAGAAGAAATATAATGAAAGAAGAATTTGGTTAAATGAACTAGGAAAAAAATTTCTTATAGATTATAATATCATAAAAATATTTTAAATTTAATTGATATCTATTTCGTTAGATTATAAACTGTTTTAGATTTTGAATTACTTACTTCACTATCTGTTTTCTTTTTTATTAGAAAAAAGATTTTTAGGAATATCATTTAAAATAAATCTATCATGACAGTTATAAATGGTTAGTATGTTCTTTGCTCAAAGTCACATTATTAAATTTCAGTCATTTGCACTTCGACGAGATGAGACCTGAAGTACATACATATATAAAGAAAGGATTTTGGCGATTTTCATTTTGATGAACTTCATCTGCTACTCCCTATATACACATACTTTGCTAAAAAAGAAGTAACAAATACTATGTGTACGTTGCCAAATATAATGATACTTTGTTTTCAAGATAATTAGATGAATTTTTAAATAGAAAAATAGTAAATATTACTGATTCTAGATGGAAGGACTAGAAAAATGTTTGCGTTGAGCTCTTCTAAAAGCCATACTTTCAGAAATGCAAGTATTCTTTTATAATTCTCAAGGATTATGTGCAAAATTTCAGCCTTGTATTTTTTCATTTGTTTTAGCTTAGACACATAAAATTTTCAAAATAGTTCAGAACTCTCACACGAACAATTTTGCACGTAAGAAGGATCTTTCTATGAATGACAAAGTGCAATGTGAAGTAATCCTAGTCTATCTTAGGACCGTCTAAATTCATCGTATGTTCTATATTAATCAATGAACAATCTAATACTTTACAAAGTCTACTTCACACTGAAAGAGTTCTAACCTGTTGTGTAACTAATCTGAAAGAAATGAAAAAACTATCACGAATGTATACGAACTATTTTTGTACATAATCCTAAATATATTTCAACATAATAAAACAATGTTTGCATTTAAATCATGGTTTTTAGAAGAGACGAGCAAAAAAACTTATTTAGTCTTCTATGCATAATTGTAGAAAGTTTACTTTTTTTTGTTCTATTTTTACAATCTATATGTGATTATAGGAATCGATGTGAAGCTAGCACGACGACCAATCAGGGATGACCTTTCCAT